GCCCTAGCATCTTAAGCTGCAGATAAATATAACAAGGGTGAGACATAAACCGAGCATAAGCCGGCCGTCCAAACAGAACGTGATATCAACTCTTAATCTTGACCACCTCAAACCACAAGGTCTCTACTTGGTAATTACGGTCATCACAAAAAGCCACTTCAAGCGATATCTTCCCCACAGGAAAAGCCAACTTACCAGGCACCACACCATGGAAAACTGTAGAGGACGGCTTGAGATGCTTGTCAGTCAGATTCATTTGGTGAAAGGTATCATAGTATAATATGTTGATGCTGCTACCACCATCCATAAGCACTTTTGTGAACTTATAGTCACCTGCTTGAGGGGCTACCACCAATGCCAGATGACCCGGATTCTCAACCCAAAGCGGGTGATCCTCCCAACTCCATGTGATCAGATGCTCTGACCATCGTAGGTATTGGGGTACTGTCGGCTCAACAGTATTCACTGCGCGCTAATGAACCTTATGATCTCGTTTGCAAAGACTTGTGGTGAAAACATGGTATTGACCTCCGTTGAGCTGCTTTGGATTACTCTAACATCCTGACTGATTATTTTGCTACTCGTTACCCTGACCAGACTGCTGATTATAACCACCCTGACCCTGATAGCCAGAGTTTGAGCCACCACCACCAAAGCCGGACCCTTGACAGCCGGATCCTGACCCACCTGGCGGGCCATTGCCATTATCCTGATGCTAGTTCAGGCTGTGATTTATGTACTCCCGCATAATGAAACAATCCTTCCATGCATAAGTGGATGGCCTGTTGGGAAGACTATGCTTCGGGCACGGGTCATTAAGTGCTGCATCAAGATTAAAAGGCTTTGCTCTGCCAAAAGGTGGCTTACCATTACCGTTGCGGCGTTGGTTTTTGTACCCAGTGTGAGTTTTAGCCACTAGATCTGACCCACCGTCGGGGTGTTTGCGTTTACCACCGTTACCCTGCTTGTTGCCATTATGCCCTGCCATATTCTGCTGCTGCCCCTTTTCCATTGCCATGCTTATTTCCCTTCTTGGATTTCTCATCATTAGATCCAGGGTCTTTTTTGTTATCAGAGTGTGCATACTTAATGAGATCCGCCATGAGCTTGCCCATATCAGTGCTATAACGTTTAAGCTGCCCGAGTTTCTTCTTAAGGGGAACAAAGTGACAGTTGTTCTCCAAGACCAGAACCGCCTGACCTGCCAAAATACTATCCGACGAGTGAATAATAGCAGAGACCCGCTGGACCCAATGGTGGGCCGACTCATCCTCACGCTGCACACAGTTATCCAGATCGATAATCGTCAGAGGATGCTTGCATGTCACATGAATTTTTTGATGAAACATGCCTTCAACTCTACCCATGAGCTGACAGAATTAGGAGGTAAACCTTTTAACCATGTACAAGCTGGCCCATCCAACATCATAGTAAAGTATTTGGCACATACAGCATCACTGACATCCAACATCTCCATGGCTAACTCATAACTCTCAATCCAACCTTCAGGAGGGAGATCAGTTGTATAATTAGGCACTTTGCGAGGACCCTTAATGTCTTTAGGCAGGCATTCATTACGCAAAGCCGGTACTAAACACGGCACTCCAACCGTCCTGGAAATCATCCCGGCCCCTACTGAGGATGAAGGGGTCATCGGAGGCTGCTGATAAGCCCCCTATTCAGCCACTGCCGCCGCCTCATGGCGAGCTCTGGCTTCATCCACAATTGCCCGAGCATTGGCCAGTGGGTTATCATCACGAGGTGGGTTATCAAAACGGGCGGGTTGCGACGCCGTTCACTGTTGGAAACTGCAGGCGACTCAACGTGTCGGCTGTAACTACGGCTTGGAAGAGGAGTTGAATGTACCCGATCACGGCTGTAGGAATAGGCCTCCTGCTATGTGATGGTTATCTATAAAAGCTCAACTACGTTCCGGGTTTCAACCGCGACTGGTGACTCGCGAGTAATAGGAATCACCGCTAACCAGGTCGTTGCTGCTAACATGTTATCCACCGGGTTAGAAAAATACTCGGGGGGGCATCAGGACACGCGGAGGCGGTGTTTGATTCGGGGGTTAGGTGCCTGATCTTCCCTCCCTGTCGACTCAGGTTGGCGAGGCTGGGCTGCCGCCCAGCTCTTTGGCATATCCGGGTTTAACTGAGGATTTACCCATGCGTCTGGAGTGCTCGGACCCGCCCCAGGGGTGTTGAACAAACACCTTGGGTCATACGTTGGTGGTAGGAGACTTTGATACCTTCTCTGGAATACTACGTTAGATGCATTCTGATCCAAACTCAAACGCCAAGCATTCGCCTAACGCTCTGCTTATGCATCAATCTGAGCCTTCAGCGCAGCTGTTTGGTTGTTCTCAGCCACGATATCCTCTTGGACCTTTGTTATCTCCTCACGAATCCTCGTGACCTCTGCGTTGTCCTCTGCTTGATTTGCCGCAGTGACCTCCATTACCAACAGAGCCATCAAGGTACCCATGAGATCCAGCAGCACTTGAGCTGGCGGCCTACCTGACCTGGATACACCAGCCCTTGTCGCGGCCGGGTCAGAAACTGCCGCAACCGCTGTTGAAGAATTGAGAGTCGGCCCTGTGCCAGCCATAAAGATAGCAGCCCTGCTCGGTGGCTCATAGGGGTCCGAAATACTATGGCCATCAGAATAGCCCCCAAGCCTGCCATCTTGAAGCTGATAGATTGACTCCGTCTCTCCAGTTGAGGACTCATCACCTGAGTAGATGAGTGTCTCTCCCTAGATGCAGAATTTTCCGCAAGCTCCAAGCCTTGCGTGAAACCGGCGAAGACACGCTTTCGGCCGGGTTAAACCCAGGCAGTTTGCATGCGCCGAGTCGACTCGATGAGGTCGGTGCAGGTGTCCGGCTCGGGCTCAGATTCGCCGATTTTGCCGATGAAGATGTGAATTCTGCCGAAGGGGACCTGGTACCCGTACTCGATTGAGTCGGCCTCGGGGCCCTAGCCAGGATCATCGATGTACAGCTTGCCGCGATGACTCTTGGTCATCTTTCCAATGGCGTATCCCTCGATCCTTGGGAAAGAGCCCTTCAATATCTTGAAACCACCGTGCGCTGGCCCCATGGTGGACACCAACTGTCGAGGGGTTCAGATGGTAGATGCCCTCATGAAAGTACTTAGGTGTGAAGCCATGACTACGGCGATTAGCTTAAAGGGGTTGAGCGGGACGAGAGACATGAGTTTACCCTGGTTCGGCCCATCACGGTGGAGGTAAAAGTCTACTCCTGCTCTTGTTGCTATTGCTTGAGTATCGATTACAAGGGAGCGGATTCGCTTGACCTAGCTATCGATTGATTGCAATTTGAGTTTAACCCGCCGCAGGGACTCGCCTTTATATACATAGGTCGAGGCCCTGTCTTACAAGAGTCCGGACCGGCTTATACTTCATAACCGACACCGGCTCTACATCATCTTGCCTTCTTGGTCAAGTCACCGTTGGGCGGCTTACACCTCCGGGTCACGCACTGTCTCCGGGTCTTGGGCCTTTGGTCGGCCCGCCTCGTAAGTCGCCTCCAGGCTTCATGTCTTGGCTTCTTGGGCCCGCTTATGCTTATTGTTAACTTGCCAACAGCGTAACCCGGCCCCTCCTGGGCGGGTTACACCGCGGGGTTATATCCCCAACAATACCCGACTAGGATCTGTAATCCTAGGACCACTGGTATGATATATAAGTCGAGGGCCGTGCTCGTCGATAGAAATATTACAATCCCTTGGTACTCGTCTATACTTTGTACACACCCAATGCAATATATGAGAGTAGGAGTAGGTTATTATCTCCATTGTGAGAGCCGAGCCTAGGTAAAACATTACTTCTTGTTACCATCCAGCCCAATCGCTTAGCTAGGATACCATACCGAGGGATCTGCCGAATGTAGGTCCGACAGTGGTGGCCCATGCAGGTCCTGCTAGGTGAACGTAGGGACTCGATGGGAGTTCAGATCGAAGCTCAGATCGGTTCCAATGTGACCTTCGTGTTGGGGTAGATGCTCATCTCTGATGTCACCGCCTTCATCTTTGACTGGTCACCTCGGCCAGGTCGCGAAATCGCCCGGGCTGATCTCGAGAGTTTGGCGTCATGCGAGATCCAGGAGCAGCAGGAGCCGGTTCAGCAGACTCAATGTTAGATCGGATCCATGAGTTGTCAGAGAAAGTCAAAATTTTCGACCCACCCACCACCCATCTCATTGCCAATGTCGAGGAGCTCACTCTCCAAGAGGGATTCATCGAGGATGCAGAAGACATGGAGGAGGAAACCGACGAGTCCGTAGGCAACCAACTGTCAACACGGCACCCTCACATCAGTGGCAGATGACTTCGAACTATGAGTTATACATGGTGGACAAGAACCCCACAAGCCAAGGCTCGGGGCAGTGGCACGGAGAATGATCCCGAGTACATGACGGGAGAGGAAAGTGAGCCCACAAGGGAGTCGTTCATCTAGTGCTACATGATGTGGATGTGGAAGGAGAACCGGATGTCGGGTGCAGGGAATGAAATTGGCGGCGGCGATCAAAAAGTGAGGGTGAGGAAGGGATAACCAGGCAGGAGGTGAGAAGGGGAAAGGAAAGAACTGGGATGGGTCAGACCTGGAGATTGGAGGGGAAATCGGGAGTTCATATTAGATTGATAAAGAAATGTCGAAATCAAGTTAACCTATAAATAATTATTCTTCAGCTGAGGAAAACCCAAACGTTACTTTCATGATTCCACTGAAGTACTCCGATTAACTGTCTTCTGTTTTTCGGGCTGAACTGAGAAAGTCTAAGCAAAACAACATTTACATGCGCCTTCCTATTTTCACGTAGGGCCAATAGTTGGCGCCAAGCCTATTCAAGGCATCCCTCCCCAACCGCACGTCTCTTTTCCCCCCCACATGCCCACCCACCATCGCCGCCGCCGCGCCACCATCGTCGCACCCCGCCAGACCGTCGCGCTGCCGCTGGCAGCGCCGACCACCACATGACACAGCCTCCGCGACGACCCACCGCGACCGCCGAGCCAGTCTTCCTCGGCGCCACATCCATCCCAAGTCCATGGCCCGAGCCGGCCACCAACATCCCCGTCTTTCGGCACCCGCCTCCCCCGCCGCCGCCGCAGAAGCACCCGCACGGGAAGCACCGGTCCCGCCCCGCCCGCCTCATGCGTTCGGTGCGCGCCGCATTCCGTTCGTTCCCAATTCTCCCGGCACCGTCCTGCCGTGGGATGCCGTCGCTGCCCCACCTCCCGAGCCTCAACGGTGCCAGCCTCGTCAGGAACCAGTTCCATGGCTCTACGCGCACCACGGGGACGCTGTACGGCCGCCGGCGGTCGCGCATCACCAGCGCCTTCCACGACAACCCGGGAAGCCCGCCGGGATTGCTGTTGGAGATGTGCGTGCCGACGGCCAAGTTTATCCAGGACGTCAGCGCGGCCGGCATGGTGCGCGTCACGCTCGAGTGCGACAAGCAGCAGCAGTACCAGCATCAGCACGCGGGCGAAGCGTCGCCGGCGCAACGGCAGCTTATGGACGAGCCGACCTGGTCGGCGGAGGTGAACGGCGAGAGCGTGGGGCACGCGTCTCGGCGGGAGGCGACGGAGGAGGACGAGCGGGTGATGCGGCTGCTGTACGCCACGTCCATGGGCGCCGGCGTGCTGCCGGACGACGTGGCCGAGTATGCCAACGGCGAGCTCACGTACATGCGCGTGCACTTCGACCGCGTCGTGGGATCCAAGGACTCTGAGACGTACTACGTGTACAATCCCGAGGGCACCGCCACCGGGCCGGAGCTCACCATCTTCTTCGTTAGGAATTGATTAGTTAATCTTATTCTCCTCCACCCTTATTTTTCTCTTCGATTTGTTTTATCATCTCCCCAGTCTTCTCTGTTTATTTTACGTATGTGTGCATAGATTGTACCGACTTATTATTATTTTAGCCTAGATTGTTTAAAATAAGTACAAAATGTATAACTGAAATTTTTTAGAATAAAAGTTCTCGCTTGATATTATTTATAAAGGAAAATGTTATACATCCTAGGTTCGCTCCGGAGCAAACACGCGTGATACAAAAATAGTTATGCGACGTCATGCACAAATCTCCACACACACCTCTGCTCACAAATCCATCATGGAGCAACCGTTCACTCCAATACTTCATCGCTCGAACGATTTTCTCATGTATATGTCACACCACCTACACCTACCTGTCCATTTTTCGACAATGTGCTAGCCATGGCGGCTCTCCATTTTAAGCACAAGCCGCAGTGCACCCCGGAATGTCAATGTCGTCCTCGCCGACCACCTCCCCTAAAAAAATCATCTCCAGATCCGGACGCCGCCTCACCGCCAGCCTCCAAGGGCAAGACCCCGATCTTTGTCGCCGCCGCCATCAAGCCCTTGCCTTGGGTCCCTCGCTGGCGTAGCCACCGCCGCCGCCGGCTGAGACAACGGCTATCCTCGCTACCAATACCCAATGTCTCCCTCCCCTCGTCAATGTTTGGTCTGTGACATGTGCAATGCGGCAGCGCCACCCTTGTTGTTTGACCGTAGAGAGTCACCATCATCATGCACTACTAGGTTGAGGCCGCGATGGTCGAAGTGGTTATAGCCATCTGAGTACCGCCACATCAACAACCTCGCCATCTCCCACCCTCAAGCTCCGTCGTGTCATCGACCTCGTCAACGTTGTCCTCCCTGTAGGGAAACGTTGCATGGAAAACAAAAAAAATTATACGGAAACGCAAGATCTATCCATGGAGATGCATAGCAACGAGAGGGGAGAGTGTGTCTACGTACCCTCGTAGACCATAAGTGGAAGCGTTTAACAACGCGGTTGATGTAGTCGTACTTTTCGTGATCCGATCATGATCCAACTGATCACGTGCCGAACGGACGGCACCTCCGAGTTTAGCACATGTGCGGCTCGATGACGTATCCTCCTTCTTGATCCATCAAGCGAGAGAGGAGAAGTAGATGGGATCACAACCAACATGACGGCGTGGTGGTGATGGTGGTGGTGGAGTACCGACAGCGCTTCGTTAAGCGTCGCCGGGACGAGGCGGCGGAACTATGGAGTAACGAGAGAGAGAGGGGCGCCAAGGGCTTGGTGTGTCCTCTTGGGGCGCCCCCTCCCCTCTATATATAGGTGGAGGGGCATGGGAAACAGCCCCTCCAAGCCCTAGGGCGCAGCTAAGGGGGAGAGGACTTCGACTCCAAGTCCAATCCTATTCCTACCAGGACTCCTTCCTTTTTTTGCCTTCTCTAGCCACATGGGCTTTTGAGGACTTGGTGCGCCTAGCCCAATAAGGTCAGGGAACCTCCCCGCAGACCATGCTAACCCTTGGGTACTGGTGTACCCACTTGTGGACTTTCGGGCCCCTCCGGAATCCTCCGGAACCTTCTAGAAGCTTCCCGGTACAATACCGAAAAAACTGCACTTTTTTCCGGAACCCAAAATATGACTTCCCATATATAAATCTTTACCTCTCGACCATTCCGAAACTCCTCGTGACGTCCGGGATCTCATCCGGGACTCTGAACAACATTTGATTACCACTCATCAAATATCCCAATACTACTCTAGCGTCAGCGAACGTTAAGCGTGCGACCCTGCGGGTTTGGGAATTATGTAGTCATGACCGACGCACCTCTCCGGTCAATAACGAATAGCGGGACCTGGATGCTCCATATTGGTTTCTACATTCCATGAAGATCTTTTATTGGTTGAACCTTTATGACAACATATATAATTCCCTTTGTCTGTCGATATGTTACTTGCCCGAGATTCGATCGTCGGTATTCTCTATACCTAGTTCAATCTCGTTACCGGTAAGTCTCTTTATTTGTTCCTTAATATATCATCTTGCAACTAACTCCTTAGTCACTTTGCTTGCAAGCTTCTTGTGATGTGTATTACTGAGAGGGCCCAGAGATACCTCTTCAATACATGGAGTGGCAAATCCCAATCTCGATTCATGCCAACTCAATAGACACCTTCGGAGATACCTGTAGAGCATCTTTATGATCATCCAGTTACGTTGTGACGTTTGATAGCACATAAGGTATTCCTCCGGTATCCTGGAGTTGCATGATCTCATGCATTAAGAAAGTTGTAGCAATAAACTAAACGATCATATGCTAAGCTAACGGACGGGTCTTGTCCATCACATTATTCTCCTAATGATGTGATCCCGTTATCAAATGACAATACATGTCTATGGATAGGAAACCTTAACCATCTTCGATCAACGAGCTAGTCTAGTAGAGGCTTACTAGGGACATGGTCTTTGTTTATGTATTCGCACATGTATTTAGGTTTCCGATCAATACAATTATAGCATGAATAATAAACCTTTATCATGAATAAGGAAATATAAATAACAACTTTATTATTGCCTCTAGGGCATATTTCCTTCACTCCCTTCATCAACCCTGCCTGCTACACCCCATTCTGCGTGTGTCAGCGTACTAGAACATGGGTGCATTAGTACTCTGACCTATGCACAGACAGTGGTAGCCTTCCTAGTGGCAAGGGCTTGCTGGAGGATGGATCTGATCAAGACTCAAGGCTTGGTTGTTAAAACCATGAAGAAGACCTCCAGGCAGGTGATCGAGAAGTACTAAGACTGTACTGAAGATCAAGCATCAAGTTGCCAGCAAGCTATATACCGGCAAGTAAAGGACCGACAAGCTCTATGCTGGCAAGCTCCTTCTGCCTCTCCACCGCTCCACCTCAGCGACCAGCTAGTCGCTTGTCAATAGGAGTCGAGCGGGCAGGCACTTAGGTGAGGCTTGTCGGGGCACGTGTGAGCACCCCGCCTGAAGATCAACTTTAATGACACCCGTCCCAGGAGCGTGTCAAGACAATAGGAGGTAGCTGGACTGACGGCACAGCGCACTACTAGGAAAAGGGCTATAGATGAAATTGACACTAATGACGCACCAGAGAAGTGGTGCGCCACTACTATATACTAATGGCGCACCATGTGCCGATGCGCCATTAGTGTGGAAGACACTAATGGCGCACCAGACAGAAGGTGCGCCACTAGTAACAATTTTTTTTCATTTTTCCAAACATACTAATGGCGCATTCGGGCAAAGTGCGCCATTACTAGTTCTAACTAGTAATGGCGCACCAGCCATAGAGTGCGCCACTACTGTATTTTTTTACTCTTTTTTTTGCAAAACTACTAATGTCGAACCGTGGCACAATGCGCCATTACTAGTTTAAACTAGTAATGGCGCACTATGCCACGGTGCGCCATTAGTATATATTTTTTATTTTTTTTGCAAAACTACTAATGGCGCACGGCCAGCAGGTGCGCCATTAGTATGTTGGGTTACTAATGGCGCATGGCTGGGTGGTACGCCATTAGTAACCTGGGACCAGCTAGATATTTTGGACAGCCACACCTACACACTCACTTGTCGGCTGCCTCCTCCTCCTCACCTCATTTGCAGCATTGATTCTGTTGGGGAACGTTGCAGAAAATTAAAATTTTTCCTACGGTTTCACCAAGATCCATCTATGAGTTCATCTAAGCAACGAGTCTAGGGAGAGAGTTTGCATCTACATACCACTTGTAGATCGCGTGCGGAAGCTTGCAAGGTGATGATGTAGTCGTACTCGACGTGATCCAAATCACCGATGACCTGCGCCGAACGGACGACACCTCCGCGTTCAACACACGTACGGAACAGCCACGTCTCCTCCTTCTTGATCCAGCAAGGAAGGGAGGAGAGGTTGAGGGAGATTGCACCAGCAGCAGCACGACGGCGTGGTGTTGGTGGAGCTGCAGTACTCCGGCAGAGCTTCGCTAAGCACTATGGAGGTGGAGGAGGTGTTGGGGAGGGAGAAGGAGGCAACCAAAGGCCAGGGCGTTCAGGTATGAAGTCCCTCCTCTCCCCCCACTATATATAGGGGTGCCAAGGGGGGTGGCCGGCCCTAGGAGATCAAATCTCCTAGGGGGTGCGGCGGCCAAGGGGGGTTTTCCCTCCCCCCAAGGCACCTAGGAGGTGCCTTACCCTCCTAGGACTCTTGCCCCCCTTGAACCCTAGGCGCATGGGCCTATGTGGGGCTGGTGCCCTTGGCCCATTAGGCCAAGGCGCACCCCCCTACAGCCCATGTGGCCCCCCGGGACAGGTGGACCCACCCGGTGGACCCCCGGGACCCTTCCGGTGGTCCCGGTACAATACCGATAACCCCGAAACTTGTCCCGATGCCCGAAACAGGACTTCCCATATATAAATCTTTACCTCCGGACCATTCCGGAACTCCTCGTGACGTCCGGGATCTCATCCGGGACTCCGAACAACATTCGGGTTACTGCATATACATATCCCTATAACCCTAGTGTAACTGAACCTTAAGTGTGTAGACCCTACGGGTTCGGGAGACATGCAGACATGACCGAGACTCTCTCAGTCAATAACCATCAGCGGGATCTGGATACCCATGATGGCTCCCACATGCTCCTCGATGTTGTCATCGGATGAACCACTATGTCGAGGATTCGATCAAACCCTGTATGCAATTCCCTTTGTCAATCGGTACGTTACTTGCCCGAGACTCGATCGTCGGTATCCCAATACCTTGTTCAGTCTCGTTTCCGGCAAGTCACTTTACTCGTACCGTAATGCATGATCCCGTGTCCAACACCTTGGTCACATTGAGCTCAATATGATGATGCATTACCGAGTGGGCCCAGAGATACCTCTCCGTCATACGGAGTGACAAATCCCAGTCTCGATCCGTGTCAACCCAACAGCTACTTTCGGAGATACCTGTAATGTACCTTTATAGTCACTCAGTTATG